GGCCGGGCTCGCCCGCCGGCGCCAGCACTGGTTCAGGCATGGGCTGACTCTGACACCCATCTGCCTGTCCTGGTGGGGACTTAGGGGGTGCCAGGCTGGGCTGGGGAGAGCCACGCCATCTTCCTCCAAAAGCACAAACATCTCCCTTAGGCAGGCCAACAGCAACAGTCCCGTAGGCATCCCCCACAGCAGCATGGCTGGGAGGTTGCATGAAGGCAGCGTCAGGGTCCTCCATTTCCTCGGGCTCCTCGGAGATCCAGGATGGTGCAGGACGTGCAGGTCTGGGCCTGTGGCAGAGAGGAGACGGGGGGCAGAGATGAGATGGGGGGCAGGGCACGTCCCCTCCACCCCACCCGACATGGTCCAGATCCTGGGGGGCGTGGGGTGAGGCCGTGTCCTCCCAAAGACCGCAGAAAACATGGCTTCCAGGTCCCCTCTGGGAACAGGCCCCCTCAGAGACACCCCGCACCTTCCCCGCTCAGCTCTTACGAGTTCAGATCTCTCATCAGGTGCCAGGTCACGTGCATGAGCCTCCTCTCCACCAGCTGCAGTGTGCGCTCGAGGTTGAGCCTGTGCCCAGGCATGGGGCAGCTGCAGGACAAAGAGGAGGGCATCTCATATGGCTGCATTGCCCCCTCCCCTCCTCCCTTTCCTGAGCCAGCACCATCCCTGGCAGAAAGGGGCCCCTCAGGCCCTGGGAGGCTGCAGGGGCATGGGGCAGTGCTTACTGTGTGCACTGGGGTGGTGGTGTCTCCTCCACGTGTCCCCAAGCTGCTGTAAGGGAGAGAGGAAGGAGCTGGCGTGGGCCTGGGGAGACTCTGCCCCTCCCCAGCCGGCACCCCCAGTCTGTGAGCGGGGCCCTGGCTGCTCCTCCGTGGTTCCCATGGGCTGGGAGGAGGCAGGGGGCCGTGCTCTTTCCTGCCCCTGCCCCAGGCCAGGGCCCGAGGCTACTCACCTCCCAGCTTGGGTCTTCCCAGTATCTGCCTCAGCCTCCGACGAACGCTCTGCGCACACAGAGAGCAGCGAGTTAGAGGGCAGCTCCCTGGACCCTACAGGGCCGGAGAACTGGTGCCCGCCCGGCAGGTCCCACCATCCCCACGGGGACCCTGAGCAGAGGGACAAGACCCTCTAGCCAGGAGCCTGCGGCTGTCATCCCAGCAGGAGCATTAGCACAGTCCTGTCACCATCCCCGGCCTCAGTTGCAGCCAACACCCAACACCTCTAAAAACAGTTTTTGTTTTGTTTAGTTTGGGGTTTTTTTAAAGAAATGTTTCATGTTCCAAGCCAAACCAGCCGAATCGAGTCTAAATTCATGAGTCAGTCCAAACCATAAGTGGCCTACAACTGGCAAACATCCTCCACCCCCGCCAGGGGCTTCAGATATTGCCAAAGTCTTTTGGCGGGCATCCTACATGCAGGCCCGAGTCCAGAGACTTGGTGTTAAGATGCCCCCAAGTTTTGCCTGCCCTCAGTCATATGGCCGCAGATGCAAGCTAGGGAGGAGCCTCCCATTTCCAGATGGGCTTGAAGCCCCAACACCGAGGCGGGTACTAAACCATGCCAGGGGAACAGTTATCCCCGGGAACGCTCAAGGAAACTGCCTTAATTGACCAGGGACTCTCGCACCATAACTGAAAAGGAGTCACTTCCCATCCTTATGAGCACTCCTCAGGCCCAGGCAGACCCTCGTGCTAGACCACACGCATCACTACACCTAGATCATCCCCCAGCACAGGCTGTCCAACATCTTCTGGAACATCTCCAGTGACGGAGAAGCCACCACTTCCCTTGGCGTCTAGTCCATGGCCTCCCTGTTCAAACAGTGGAGACATGCTTCCTGGGATCCAATCTAAACCCACTTGGCTGCAATTACAAGCCATTGCTCCATGTCCCCCTGTCTGTAGCCAGAGAGCAAAGGTGCTCTCTCTTTTCTTTGTTCCAGCCCTTCAAGTATTTGAAGAGTGCTCTCACATCCCTCCGAAGCGCCTTTTCCACCAGCTGAACATGCCAACTCCTTCAGCCGCTCCTCCTATGACTTGCCTTCCATGCCCATGATCATCTTTTTTGCCTGCCTCTGGACCCTCTGTTTCTTTTCCATGCACTTTTTAAAACGAGTAAAAAGAAATATTTCATGTCCCAAGCCAAATCAGCCAAATCATGTCTAAATTCAAGAGTCAGTCCAGAACCATAAGTGGCCCTACAACTGGCAAACATCCTCCACCCCCGCCAGGGGCTTCAGATATTTCCAAAGTCTTTTGGCGGGCATCCTACATGCAGGCACAAGCCCAGAGACTTGGTGTTAAGATGCCCCCAAGTTTCACCTGCCCTCAGTCATACGGCCACAGATGCAAGCTAGAGAGGAGCCTCCCATTTCCAGAAAGTGGGCTTTAAGCCCCAACACTGAGGCGGGTATTAAACCATGCCAGGGGAACAGTTATCCCCAGGAACGCTCAAGGAAACTGCCTTAATTGACCCAGATCCAGGGTGTTTCCCCTGCCTCTAAAAGAGGTTTAAGAACATCCTGACACATGGAGCAGAAAGGAGAGGAGGAGCCAACCAGCAAAGCCCAGAAGCCTCCTCCCCTCTGCCCCCCACACACCTACCTGCAAATCCAAAAGCCAAAAGGCTACTTGAGTTCCCAGTATAACCAGGATGAATTCGATGAGAAAATCCATACTGGTAAGTTGCCAGGTTGGTGGAGCAGAAGATATAGCAACCTACCTCCTCCACCTCCACCGCCAGTAAAGGAAAAGTATGTGCCCTGATAAAGTCTGAATGCTGTGTATATATATATTCCTGATGCCTCCAGTGCCCTTAGAAATCAAGCCGAGATTATTGAAAAAGAAGTTGTTGAACTTCACCAAATTAATCAATGGAATATGAAAGGAATGTGGTCTTGGTTAACCTCCTGGTTCTTTGATGCTGGGGCCCCCTAGCATTTTAGCCAAGCTGCTAGGATGAAACTTCCAGGAGATCCCAGAACTAGTGATCTATTGATGAAACCTGGGAGTCCTGGATCCCGACAACCAGCTTCTTCCTTCACAGCACCAAGCCATCTCCTCCACACTGAATTAAGAACAGAAGTGCTATATACTGGGTCAGACCACAGGTCTGTCTTGCCCAGTCCCTTGTGTCACACCATGGCAGACAGCACATGCTGGAAGGGAGAGTAAACTGTGTCTGACCAGGGCTATCCATGGTTTCTCACTTGCAGCCTCCAGCATTTAAGGTCTAGGAAGCCCTGATTCAGAGGCCGTGCCCCTCACTCCTGTGCTCAACACCTACTGATGGCCCTTTCCTCCAAGAATATGTCCAATCCCTGTTTGAACAGTTTCCACCACATCTGGTACAACGGGTCCCACACTCTAATGACCCGCTGGGTGAAAAAAAACTTCCTTGTGTTTGCTTTCAACATACTCCCTACTAGTTTCATCCTGGGACCCCAGTTCTTGTACTGCAAGAGACAGTCAATAATAAATCCCTATTGACTTACTCTTCCCCATTTAGTATCTTGTAAACCCTTCACATGTTCTCCCTCAAGCAGGTCTTTTCTAAACTGAATAGACCTGGCCTCTTTTACCAGCTCTCATGTGGAAGGAAGCCCCTCTCTGACACTCATGATTCTTGGTGCCCTTCTCTAGTTCTTCAATTTCCTTCTTGAGATGCAGGGACCAGACCTGGGCACAGTCTTCAGTGTGTGGGGGCACCATGGATTTATAAAGGGGAATCCTGAGACTTTGTTTCATTTACAATTCTCTTCTTTAGCCATCGAGCTGGTATTTTTTAGCCAGCTGTCTGCAATTACTCCCAGATCTCTTTCCTGTGTGGTACCAGCTCATGTAGCGCCCATAATAGGTAAAGCATGGGTTATTTTTGCCCATTTGCATCACTTTACACTTATCAGTGCTGGATTTTTATCTGCCATTTCATTGCCCAGTCACTCAATCATGCAGGATCCTTCTGTAGTTCCTCGCAGTCCACCTGGGTCTTTCCCACCTGGAATCACTTGGTGTCATCTTGCCGCTACCCCCCTTTTCCTTAATGTTTCAGCTTGGAAATAGCCAGCTGCTCTCTGAGGCTTCAAAGGAAGGCCCCAAACCAAGAACTAACCACTGCATCAGATGCCAGGTTCTGCCTTTAAGGGGAATAAATATTTCTTCCTGGCCCCTACAGCCCCCAGCGACAACCAGCGGGTACCCTGAGGCACAGGATGAACCCAGGAATTACAACCCCATGACACATGCATACATAACAGTGTGCTCTATGAGCTAATTAAATGCATGGCAGGGAGAAAGAGGAGGAAGGAAGGAAAATTGAGCAGGGGCAGAGTTAGGCTGGGAGAAGGGGCTGCCCAGACTGGGGAGACTCACGGAGATCTGGAAGCCAGAACGTGGCTTAGGTAGATCCACCCTAGAGGCCAGTGC